ATATATATATAGTTTAAATCGTTTTAGTGTATTGATCTTACTCTGAGAAACATGTCCAGTGAGCCGTTCTCCATATATTCGGTGATAATCATTACTGGTTTGCCTGCAATCACAGAAATAGACAAAAAGAGAACAATTAAACTTCACAGATTATAGTAAATTCAAGTTTCTGTAAGAAAATACAACAAATCTACTCTAAACCATCTTGTTTTGTATTATAGCATGTTACTGCCTTCTTAGGATGTAAAAGTTTGTTCCTCTTTTGTAAGTCGCTTTGAATAAAGGTAATTAAATGTAAATCTATTTAACGAAGCACTAAAACTTTCCCACTGACAGTATTTGAATGCCAGAGATGCGCTGGGCATATGCAACGCCGTATACTGAAACTTCTTATGTCAGTGTCAACCAGATGTAAACACTGAGCGTAGAACATGAATATCAGTAATTCAAAGAGAATCAACACACACACACACACACAGTCACAGGCCGGCTGATTGACACTTAGCCAATGCTCCTTTCCTATTGAGGAAGTGCGGTAAATAAAGCTTGACAGACACATTGTTGGCCATCTTTGTTGGGCTGGACTTTATGGTGACCTTGAGGCGAGTTTGACTGACAGCTCCTCTAGAGGGCCTGAGGAGCGGGTGACCTCTGACCCCGCCCCCTCACTGTCGGAGTTTCCCAGCCCCGCCCCTCTCCGCCCACCCTATTAGAATGCTAATGAAGCATTTACTGACTTTGCATGTATGGCTGTGCTGACATGTATGTGTACGCTTGACAATGAACTCTGCAAGACAAGGGTTATAATCTCCATCAAAACATAACAGAAATATATATATATATAAAATATGTTTATAATTTCAAAAAAGAAAAACAGTAAAAAAAAAAAACGATTATAAAAATGATATTTCTTGCATTAAGAATACAACTACCACAAGTCTTATAAAGCCAAATAATCGCAAAGAAATGCTGTTGAATCACTGATGAGAGACATCGAGAGGCCCCGCTATCCCACACCACCTTATTTACATATTTAGATTCACTTCATACTCATTTACATTATGCAAATTAGGCATTCAACTCCACTAGCTCTGCTGTAACACAAAGCAGGAGACTTGAGATGGCTTTATAGTTTCATGGGGACATTTATGTGCTAAAATTAAATGAAACATTGACAGTGCTGGCTGATATCCAACTGTTAGAAATATCTCGCATTTTAATTTACTAAGAAATTATAAATCAACACATTTGGTGTCACCTGCTGCTCAAAACTTTGTTTTTTTAAAGCATATACAGCATAGTTTACATTAATAGCATAATATTTTATAAAAAATATAGTTATATATATATATATATATATATATTTATTTATTGGAAAATATATTTTTATATAATTTACCAAACAATATAAATGAAAATAATAATAATTATAATTATATATATATATATATATATATATATATATATATATATATATATATATATATATATATATATATATATATA